CCGATTGGTTTTGATCTAATAAAAGCGTCCCTTCCATCACTGGTCGGGACTCTGTTTTGCATGTATTAGCTCTAGAATTACCACAGTTATCCAAGTAAATGTGGGTACAATCTAATGAACCATAACTGATTTAATGAGCCATTCGCGGTTTCACCTTAATTCGGCATGCACTGAGACATGCATGGCTTAATCTTTGAGACAAGCATATGACTACTGGCAGGATCAACCAGGGAGCTTCGTGTTCGGTTACTCGCAAGGGAGTAACTCGCGAGCGAGCCCGAAGACTCGTCGCTAGCTCTTTTTCGCGCGCGCGCGCGTTCGATGCCGAAACACCGACGCGCGCGCGACACGCTCGTATGTGCCATTTTATTTGCCGCCGGTCTTGCTCAGCCGGTCGGCGACACTCTGCTGTGTTTAACGCTATTATGTAAAGCGTACGAGAGAACGACGGAGGCGAGAGTAAACCCCCGACGCCGCCGCCTCTCCTCTTCTTCCTCCTCCTCTCCGTTCAAAAATCCACAAGATCAAAATACTCGTGTTCTTATTCTCCCAAATGTTATGATGCGCGGTCTCGAGAGACCGCGCGATTCACCCTGACGCTAGATCGACGATGGCGATGCTTAGACGTCGAGGACTGTTCTGTCTGGTTCGTACGCGTTTAACCGCACACGACCAGCAATAAGATTTCGCTACGGCGTACAAAGCGAGCGGGAAGAAGCAACTCTTCCCGCAAACTCGTATCCGTGGAGTAGATGCTCGGTAAGCGCGACGATTCCGCTGCTGCGTACGAAACGAGAGGGAACCGCGCGGCCAACACACTAGAGGCGTGCGCGCCACATAAGAGCCATTCGGTCTTGCGACACCGACTCGTGGCAATGCTGTGCTCGTAATAAATAAGTATGCGTTAATTTTGCGCGCGTTCGGCGACGAACGAGAAGAGCCGCACCGTAATCCCCGGCGAAGAGGAATACGAGACGACGCGAGAGTCGAACGTACGTTCTCGCGAGACACGCAACCTCCAAGCATGAGAAGACTTGGCGGCGGCGCGTTCTGCGACGATCGTATATTATTTTATATATTCGTGGTTTCCAAATCAAACATTTTATATAAATGTTCTCTCCGTGTCAGAGTCGCGACTCGACAAAATCCGTTCTCGACCCGTTCGGGCGATTCTTCGTTTGTCAACGTCGAGAGCGCGACACGTACAATATTAATCTCTCCTACCTCTTATAGTACCCAACCGACCGGCCAAGCGGTCGGCGACGGTACGGAGAGCGGTCGAAACACGCCGGAGTGGCGAGAGACTCGAGAAAGTACGTTTACGACTCGTCCGGACTCGCTCGACTCGTTCGACGCGCCGAGCGCGACGTATCTCTTAGTACCCAACCGGCCGGCCAGGCGGTCGGCGACGCACGGTCCTACGCACGGCCGTATGCGAGCGCGAGCGCCGAAAGGCGCGTTCAATCGAGACATTGTCGCGGAGAGCGAACGATCGAAAAGTCCTATTGTACGATAAAATATTATCACGATAGCCGTATGGCGAATGTCAAACAACGATAATTAGCATTAATTAAGAAGGAAACAAACGAAATGCCGGGACAATAAGGTATAAGCACCGACGGTACCTCCGGGCCGGGCGGCACCTCCGGGTCGGGCGGCACCTCCGGGCCGGGCGACACCTCCGGGAACCACGGCGGCACCGGGCCGGGCGGCACCTCCGGGCCGGGCGACACCTCCGGGCCGGGCGACACCTCCGGGCCACGGCCGACCGGCGACACCTCCGGGCCGGGCGACACCTCCGGGAACCACGGCCGACCGGCGACACCTCCGGGACGGGCGGCACCTCCGGACGACCGAATGATCTCTCGAAGTCAGACGACCGCCGGCGGTACCTCCGGAACACTTAACGACGATTTACGGCGCCGCAACGAGGAGAGCTACGTAAAAACGTTTCGGACGAAAGTTACTTACTATTCGGCGCTCGCTCGACATGAGGGCGCTGTCCGATTACTAACTCGAAACGTGTCTCTCAAACCCACGTGTCGGAGACATATATTTCGAATTATTACGGATGATACGCAACACGCAAGCTGCGGTGACCGCGATTACGGTACGGAACACTCGCCCGATGCGAAATCACGCGCGCGGCAACCGAGACGGCTCGTTACGGGCGTGATTATACGTGCGGCACCACATAACGGCCGGCGTCAACTTGGGGACGGACGGCACCTCCGGGACGGGCGACACCTCCGGACGACCGAATGATTTCACCAAGTCCGTCGCCCGCCGGCGGTACCTCCGGGGCACTTGACGGCGAGTAGCGCCGCTACGAGGAGATAATGCTACGATACGGAAATACGTTTCGGACAAAGGTTTCGTACTTTTCGACGCTCCGCACGACCGCGCGACACGATTATTACGATATCTGCTAATTCCCGGCTACCACTCGTCGGATGCACAATCTTCGAGATTCTACGACCGATACGTGGACGAATGCAGGCAGGATGCCGATAAGCGAAGCCGGAGTGTTTGCACGAATAAACTTTCCGATGCGTCCTCATTTAATTAATCTCATTTAGCTCGCTCGTTAGCGGTACAAGCGAGAACTCGGGAACAGGCGCAAAATTAAACGTCACTAAATGAATAAATATTTTTTCAGAAAATATTTATTTAGTCAAATCGGAAATATTTTAATTTTTTATTCAAAAATAATACGTAGATTACTTGTATTTAAGAAATTGCAAAAAATAAGTAGAATACCTAATTTTTATTATTTCAACACATAAAACTTAAAGTTAAGTTACGTTGTGAAAATTTTATAAAAAAAGAAGTTAGAGAAATTGCACTGCGCAAAGTCATTTATTTTGATTTCTTCATATATTTATATTATATGTAGAGTAGCAATACTGTGTAGTTATTACAATTCTTTTATTGATAATATATATTCATGATTACAAGTGCAATATGTGAAATTAATTATATGACACATTAAGCTAAAAGTTAAGTTACATTGCGAGAATTTTATAAAAAAGAAAGTTGGAAAAGCTGCACTGCGCAAAGCTATTTATTTTGATTTTTTCATATATTTTCAGTTTTTATAAATTTATCAAATCAGAGTGAATTCTCTCTTTAATATTATTTAGTATTATATTTAGTATAATATTTTAGTATTATATTTAGTATTATATTTTAGTATTATATTTAGTATTATATTTTACTATTATATTTGTCACTATGTCAAAGTGTATTAATATATTAATCTTTGTGATCATATTTCTCAGAACAATGCGTGGATTATTTCTATTTAAACTATTAACAATTGCCAAAAAATCGTCTTTACTTTCTATAAAAATAAAGTAATTTTAATTATTTAGATATACAGGGTTTTTCCGGAAAGTAATGCGTCGCATTTTTTTAAAAAGAATTTATTGATCGCATAGGTAAAACAACTTAAAATTGTTCGAAGTATGACCCTTCTGCGTCAATACATTTTTGCCAACGCGATTTCCATGCGTCATAAGATTTCTGGAACTCCTTGACTGGGATGCTGTTCAGGGAGGCCGTCGAAGTAGCTTGTACGTTGTCAACCGACTCGAGCTGTTGTCCTTTGAGCTCCCTTTTCAGCCGAGGAAATAAAAAAAAGTCCGCCGGAAATTGGGATTATCTGCACAGAGTTGCTTGAGTTCTTCACAAACTTCCACTCGGTGTTGCTTTTGCGCATCGGTCAACACTCTGGGCACAAGTTTTGCGCAAATCTTCCGCATGGCCAAGTCTTCCGATACAATCTCGTGAACAATCGTTTTCGGCAAGTTCAATAATTCCGACATTAAGCGAACATTCATTCGACGGTCTGAATTCAATAATTGGCGCACACGAGTCACATTGTCGTCCGTTCGCGATGTTGACGGGCGTCCTGCGCGGGCCTCGTCGGCGACCTCCTTCCGACCTTCTCTAAACATCTTGTGCCATCTGTTTGACTGCGATTTGGAAAGGCAATCGTCCCCGAAAACTTTCTTGAGCATTTCAAAAGTTTCCAGCGGCGTCTTGTCCAGCTTCACGCAAAACTTTATCGCATAGCGTTGCTCTATCGTTCTCTCCATCACAAGTTCGACGCGACCACTAAGCAGAGGTTCACAGAATAAGCCGTCCTAACCCTCCAAGCGCATGGAAACAATTGAGCGACCTACCGTTGGAAAGCTAAGGGTACCCCCCTTCCTCCCCAACCGGTCCCATCGCTCTGCGATGTATAGTCGCGTCACAAAAAAATGCGACGCATTACTTTCCGGACAAACCCTGTAAGTAATCAGAAATTAACGCATTGATGCAAGAATTTAACTGACAAGAAAATTAAAAAGCGCTGTGTAATAACTTTAGATTTTTTACGATTTATATTAATATTAACCTGTCAAAAATCAAATTAATATGTTATGTGCTGTTGTATGCACTTAATACGTACAATATTATTGCAATGAAAACATTTTATATTACTTTAAATAAATATATAATAATGATACTATTCTGTACAATTATACATATAATACATGTTTTTCTTAAAATTCCTATTAACTGAACAATTAATGTGTATCGTCTTGTGTTTTATATTTATCACATGATAATTACAAAAATTTTTAAAAATTTGAATACCTAAAAGATTATAACTTAACGACATTTCCCATTATGTAAAAAAAATGCAAATTAAAAAAAATTATTTAAATTAATTTTGAAATATTTATCTTCAGAAGAAATGCAGAAAATGTTTACACTCTTAGTTCTAGTTTCTTAATAATAATTGTTAGAATCCATGAGGGGTTACATAGAACCCATAATTAAACATTGGATTTACGAAGATAATTTTTCAATTTGAGGTACTTAAAAATTTTTTATTCAAAAGCAAAGCAAATGAGAAAATAAGAAAAAGAGACTAATTTCACAGAGATAAATAAATATCAAGTTATTAATACACGAACAATTGCTTTCTCGAATATTACAGATAAGAAGTACCTTTGCATTGTGTAGCACAGCTCTGACTAAGCAGAACAATTGTCTCTGCCCAGTGCTGAGATTACTACCACCTTCATCCAAGACTGCATCCAAACCATCCAATCGATGAAAAAAAGAATGCACTTTACATTTCTCAAAGGTTTTGTATATATGTGCATATAGGTATACTGATCCAACGGATCCACATTCTCTCGATTAGTACCCAAGATAAGAAACGGATTCTGAGGTATAATTGCTAAATGGGATCTGGAATGTTTTTCTTTTCTTTACAACTGTTAACATACAATGATTATTTTTTGCAAGTTTATGAATACCTTAATGTGTTCAGTTGTAACGTTTGAATATTCACGTTGTCGATTAATATACTCCCAGAACTGATCTCTGTCAGTCTAAACAACGAAGATAGGAACAAACTTTTTCCAGCACCGGTGCGACCAACGACGCCTATTTTTTCCGCTGGTCGAGTAACGAATGTTATCTCTTTCAACGATGGCACTAAATGGTTCCTGCGAATATAATTACAAAAATTTATTTTACCAAATGTTACAATCGTGCATTATCTTTATCAAAAAATTTGAAAATATTACCTGTACATCAAAACAACTTCTTTAAATTCCACAACACTTTGACTAGGCCACGCGTAAGGTTGATTAGTGCCCATTGTATTTTCAAGATTAGATTAGAATAAGGATTCAACGTATTTTTAAAAGCTTTACACACAACGAAGTGAATATACAAAACTATATACAAATACCTTTTTCTTCTGTGTTTTTGAAAAAAATTGTAAGTCAAATGAAATCTTGCTATTCAAAACCTATTCTTCATGATCGCAAGATACTATTTTCTATTTAAAAGACGTCTGCTAAAATTTTAATAAATAGATATTATTTATGATAGAAATGAAGAATTTGTGCTTTACAGTATATGGATAGTACATGGTTATTTCAAACACTGAACCGATGCATACAACAAAACTTTTCTCTGTCTATTCAATAAATTACTGATAATGTTAAATCCCAATCACATATGCCACCTTGCCTAGGTTAATGATGGTCATTAACGGGAAATTTTACTAAAGAAAGATTGGAGATTTTTAATTTATACAATTTTCACAACTCTTATTTCAATTATTTATTCTATCCATCGAAAGTTTTTTGAGAGCAGGCCGCCATGTTATTTTTCTGAGTCATTAACAAATTGGTACTCTGGAATTACGAGCAATTATTTTTCATTGTACGGGCTAGTATGAATTTCAAATCAAATCTCTATAAACGACTATTATATTTTGTGCACTAAGAATAACATATCGCACTTATTTTCTAGAATCAAATTGTAATCAGTTTTACTTATATGTATGTATGTTCAATGTGAACTTGCACCTTGAATAAAATATCACAGTTACTTTTCATGGTAATATATTATTACTAAATTTAGATAATATACACTTTACGTATGTTCACTTTGAACTGGCACCTTGAATAACATATCAGTTACTTTTCGTGATAATTTATTATTAGATCGTTTAAATTTTGAAAGGTTTAAATTTTTGAGTATCTTCTTTTGAACATGGCCTGACCTTTTCATTTTTATGATTTTTTTAGGATATCAGTTACTTTTTAAAGTACAGATATATAGAGCAGCTTTCTAGTAATTCAAGTATCACAAATATATGTACTTTCGATTCTTATCACATAACTTTGTATAAGTAACAATTTATGCAATACAGTTCAAAATAATTGAAATATATGGTATATATGTATGTACATATATAAAATATATAATTATATTATAGTATACATATATATTTTATTTAATCATATATGTAAATGTTTGTATAATTGTAATAACTTTTAACGATACATTGCACATTTATTTCAATTGCAACAGAATGAATTTATATTCTTGTATGAATATTGAAAATAAAGAATGAGCCCCTCCATCGCCCATTCTCGTGAGAACGCAACCATATATTTTTCTTTGTCTCTCCGATTTTAACACGACATACATATTTCTGTCTGATAATTTTTTTCTGGATGATACTTTTTGAAATGTCATGAAGCCTAGGTCAAATTAGAAACTTATTGCACTCGTTTTAACGCAGCGCTTACAGCAGCTTTTATAAAGCGCCAGAGCAGCCGATATTTTATTTTGGCGCTTACGGCAACTTTTATACAGCGCTAGAACAGTTGATGTTTTAATGTAGCGTTTACGGCAGCCTTTATACAGCGCCAGAGCAGCCGATGTTTTATTTCGGCGCTTACGGCAGCCTTTATACAGCGCCAGAGCAGCCGATGTTTCATTTCGGCGCTTACGGCAGCCTTTATACAGCGCCATTATTTAATCTGTTCTAAGAACAATATGTATGCCCCTTGTGCTCCTTTGGGCCATTTTTTCTTGAACACTTCCATATCATTAGAGTAATACCATTCCGATTTTGTGTCAGCTCTCAACATACACGTGTAGTGACCACGATTCATTTCTTCACCTTCGTGAAATATAGCGCTTATTACCTTGTACTTTTTTTATTAATCGTGATATTACTCGTCGGCACGGCGGTAATCCGATTGTTGATAATTTTTTTAGAAGCACCGTTTACAAAAGTATATAAATTGAGCTGTATTACTACGACGGATAAAGTTGATTCGATTACGGTTTTCTTTTTCAACACGGTACCCTTACATTCGTTACAATTGCCGTTTATCGTTTCCCATTTAGAAAATTCTACATTAATCAAACTTTGTAGAGTGACACCTTTTTTCCTTTTTAATGTCGAATGTATAGGTAATATTAGCAAACTACTGCTTTCCAGCTTAGTTACATTGTAATTACATTTGACATTCGAGCAACATGTTACGTGCTTTAATTCGAGTTCTAATACATCATTGATGTCGGAATACGTCGACATTAGAGCCGTAAAAAATTCCGAAACATCTTGTTGTGTTCGTTCTTCGAAGCGTTTTCCGACAGATCTTCTAACCGCTTGAATGTTGCAATATTTACGTTCACCATACGCGCAGATAGCATCAGTCAATGCATTCGATGCTTTATTTTTCAGTATTTGTTGCCTAATACGTACGCAATGAAACGCACATTGTAATATTACATTAGCGTAACACGAAACAGCATCGTTATTGCAAAGGCCATATATTTTCAACGTAACTATACTTTCTGGTTCCTCACAATCATAATTCTGCATATCATCAATGATATTAGGGATAGCCCATCGACGATCGTACATTTTCACAACCTTTTTCTCAGACGGATTGATTTGTGGCAGTTCAGATTTGAATATAGATCTCAGTCGATTATATTCTACAATGGCTCTCGAGTTTGCTTTAACTGATGCTGGATTGAAATTTATCAAATGTAGGCCTTCCAATTTACTTACTCGTGACAAACCTACATAGGCTTGACCATCACTGAATACAGTCGTTCCTAAATCCATCATTGCATTGTTACATGTAATTCCTTGACTTTTGTGTATAGTTATTCCATAACTGAGAGACAATGGAAATTGTTTCCGATGTACCACTAATTTGTGGAATACTTCAAATTTAATATCTACTTTCGTTATTGCGATTTCTTTGTTATCCGAAATAACTATTTTGATGGAATCAATACAATTGCCGTCAGCAGAGCGATTAACTGCAACTACATTGCCTATCGTTCCATTGACAAGTCCCAAAGTTACGTCAATGTTTCGTCGAATCATCACTTTAGCGCCAATTTTAATCGCTATTACTCTTTCAATGCCAGCTGTTTCAGACACTTTATCATCTTTGTCTTCCAAAATTTTATGCACCTTTTTTTTCATTGCTGGAGCACAGTCGACATCATCTTCTGCTATCAGTAGAATTTCATCGCTGTCGATTTTATCGAGCATTGCTGTGTTCAAAACCTTGCACAAATAACACGTGGGCAATAAACAAATTGTATCAATCGGTAATTGATTCATATAAGTGCAAAGTTCATTCAATCTTTCGTCGCAACTACTTTCTTTAAAATTGATTTTTCTAGACTGAAGAACATTGATGTCAGAATCCGTTACTAAACCTATTCGTATTCTAGAAAGTATATCACGATATGTATTGTCGCATCTTTGTCGCATATTAATCAAAAGTTCGTCGTACTCGAACAATCTCCACAAATCACATCCACCCATGGTACCTAAATACTTCTGAATCTCTGATCGAGACATTTTAACAAACGAAAATTGTCCTTTTACAGGAGGAAGCTGCAACAAGTCCCCAAACAGGAGAATGTGTTTTCTGCCAAAGAAACCATCATCTGTATCTGTCGTATCAAAGATTTCACATAATCGTAGATTGATAAACATAAGTGTCACATTTGAAATCATGGATACTTCATCGATTATAAATAATTCGACATTCTTTAATTTGTCTCTCAAAGTTTTCAAGACCATGTCTGACAATTGCGTATATTTTGGTGTAGATTCATGACTAACGGGTAGTTGAAACATTCTATGGATTGTCAAGCCATCGATATTGAATGCTGCGATACCCGTGGGAGCAGATATGGCAGTCGTTTTTTCCAAATTTATTCTGATCCAATGTTTAATCGTTTCAATTAGAAAACTTTTCCCTGTACCACCCTCGCCACTTACGTACAGTCGCAGAATCTGATTCTTATCTTGTAAAACTTGGCATACTCCATCAAAGACTCTTTTCTGGTCTTCGTTCAATTGCGACATCATTTGCGATAAATCAATCGGGTCGTCAATCTTACCAAAATCTTCCAGATCTTTCATCGCGTCGTCAGCTTCTATCGGATTACAATCCAGTTCATCGTCATCGGATTTGTCTCTGTCTGCTGTTTTCAGATCATTTTCGCGCTTCTCGATTAATTCAGCAACGTTCTCAAAAGCTTTCTGTATTTCTTCGAGCCTTTCGTGATATTTCATTACCTTCGTTAAAACAGACTCTGAATTCTTAAAGGCATCCGTGTAAGTCTCGAATGTACCTTTGAGTTCACTCAAATCTCTCCATGGTTTGAACAGAAGAAGCAGCGAGTAAAAGTATTTTTCGGGCTCAGTTTTTATATTAAATCGATAATGGTTAATTAAATAACCCTTTTTTCGTTTTTTTAAAAATAAACCCGATGCCAGTTTGTAACACTTGACTTCGTCATTATTTGGCATCTGTTTCGTAATTTCCCAGAATCTGGCAAAATCGTACAAATTCAATGATTCTAATTCCTGAGGTCTATTTGGATAGTAATCATCGATGAGTGACGAACAGTAAATATTCGTAGAATTTTCATCGAGAGCTTTAATTTCATTAAATGTTTTAACTTTTCTATTTCTCACCTCATTAACATCGATCCATTTGACCATGGTATCATTATCCATACCGTACAAGGGATTCCCTAATAGTGTATCCGCAGCTTCTAAAGCACCGCATTCTCTGTTATTTAATGAACGCATTGCAAAATTCCACAGTTTCGATGCCAAGGACTTATTCGAATCTATCACTTCAAAGTCTGTATTGCATTTTTCCGACTTTGTCGTGTATTTTGTTAAATATGAGTTTAAAAACTCTGATTTTTCTCCAATAAATTGTATGTCCATATTTCCCTCCCAGGCTAATTTGATAGCCGGATTATAATCGTTTATAAACCTTTCCGACTCCTTGCGAGGAAGATCGTA